CTCACGATCCTCTCATCTCTCATCTCTTGATTTTTCTCGCATGTTTGTTTAATTTTTCTCTCAGAGGGGTGGCGGGTGGGACTCATTCTCTCAGGATCTCAGTCCCATGGTTCGAGGGTGTCTCGGTCGGTCTCGGTCTCGGTCGAGGTCTGAGCGACGAAGGTCGACGCTCTTCAAACCCCTTCGTTGAAACCGATTGCGTTCGGCCGAGGTCAGGTAGGTGAACATCCGCAAGCGCACAAGATCGCTTCTGTCTAATCTTGGAAGGTTCATTTCGGTGTGCATGGAAGACTCCCTAGAAGAAGGAACATAGACCAAAACCATCCAAAACCCAGTTGGCCAGGGTCTCTCCCTCTTGAAGTACTCATTTTGGGTACCAGGTCTTTGAGTTCCTCCTTTTGCGTCCGGCCCACGCATACGGGATGCGTGTGAATCGCCGACCCTTCGTGGTACGAAGCGCCACGCCGTTCGACCTCAGGCGGATCGAAGAACATCAAGACCCATTCATGGTACAAAGGCGGGAGGTCGCCCGGAGGTCGACGTGACGGACGTTCACGTCGCGACCAGCTGGGATGAATCAGAGGTGTTCCATTTTTGGAGAAGAGGAGTTGATGGCGCGCTAATCAAACGAGTCAGAGGTTTTCTGATGGAAGAGCCAAGATCCCCAAGCCACTGTGGGTGCAGAACTTGGGACTCTGTACATTCTCTGATATTGCCCTGTGCCCCCCCTCTCCCTCCCTCAGCCACCAGAACTCTGAAGTGCCTGGACTTCTGGAATGCTTCCAGATCCCCCAAAGATGTGCCAGGGCCTGAATGAGCGTCCTTTTGAAACCATGGCACATCCCAAGACCAATCGGAAAGATCGAGGTACTAGGGGGCCTCTTGAGATTCTCATATCCACTTGTTTGACCAAGCAAAAGCCTTTCAGGCTGCTGGCGCATGCCTTGGTTCGGTGAAGATTCTGCATCTTTCTGCATTCTTCAGCCTCCATTCGAAGAGGTTGTGCCCCTCAAAACAGATCTTGGATTCCTGAGATGGTAAGCATGATCATTGCATTCAAGGCTTCTGGTGCTTCTGCAACTCTGTGTGTTGAATAGTCTGGTTCTCTCGTTCGGAAAGACACCGATGGAAAGACGACCCACGTGGGTCTGCCGAAAAAAATCACAGGGAGCAGATATAGCTAGTAAGCTCTGTGTGAGCCTCCCCGAGCCGCCGAGCCAAGTCTCAGTCATTTTATATACCAGCCCCAACTTCAACCAACAGGTCTTCTCTAGAGGGTAGGGAATTCACAGGTCTCAATTTGGAACCTGTTGGAGGGTACAGGTATTGGATGTAGGTGTTGTTTTGTTGATTCGGACGGGCTTCCGGGGGTGGTGGTTGCGGTCCAAGCCATGTGCAGGCTTCAATTGGGACAAGTTCACGGAGTTCACGTTGGAAGCGCCGTTCATTCCGAAGGTGAAGAGTAAGAAGGACCTCATGGTTCAGTGAGTACCGGTGGTGCGGCATGGTTCGGGTGACGTCACGTTTGGGTCGCCGTTTGAGCTTGGTTGGAGTGAAAAGGGCCGGCAACTGGCCCTGTTTGTGGATGGGAATGGTCAGCAATTTGGGACCCATCTTTAGTCCAGATGACCGCATTGGTCTTCCCTACCTACGTGTCTGTACGTCCGTGCGCATGCATGGAAGCGATATGAAGCGATGCACGTGGAGAAGACAGGACTTGGCGAACTTTAGCGTCCATCCGGATGAGATGCCCAGGTTCATTGAGTATGTAGACGATGGTACAGGTGCCTTGGATGACTGTTCGTGGAAATCTGTGACCCTGCAACCTTTGGGTTTCTGGAGCTACAGCATGTTTGTATATTATGCAGGTATCCCTTTTTCTTACTCCGAACCTTTGGGCTGCGTGACAGATTCACTCAAGTACCCAAGTATGAGCAGGAATTGGTAAACATAGCGCAACCGGCGCAACCGGCACAAGATGCATTGACCACTTTCCCAAAAACACCTCGCCAGGGCCAAATCCTGTCTGTCTGCTTTGGTGGCGGAGGTTGTCCAACTCATTGGTTTCCTCGCCCCAAACGCTTCCGGTGGTCGCGGCTGCGCTTCGTCGGCCTTGTTGTGGCCTTCAACCACAACAGTGCTGCAGCGTGGCCGACAGAGTTGCCCAGGTGAAACAGTCGGCTTTCCCAAAACAAGCTTATCAAGGAGAGACTGGCTACATGGATCCTGGCATGCTCAAAACGGTCAATAGCTTATCAACTACATTCAACCACTAATCATTACATGCGGCCACCTATGAAGTGCATTCAAGTGCGAGAAATATTCCTCCCGGGCAAAGAGGCACACTCCTACGCGAAGTGCCCTGTCGAATTACTGTAGCTCACTATGCATGCATGCTGTTTTTACACAGCTGCTGCACCTGCCAACGGTGGATTGCTGAGCATCCTGAGCAAACGCTCGCGACAGGAAAGCATTTGCAAATCTCACCTTGCAACTAACCACAACGCACAAGCTCCAAGCCTTTTGCACAAGAGTGCACCCAATGTGTAACACCAAATTTAAATGGTCTCATCAGAAGAGTGCTCTTTCACACGGAGTGTGTCTTCACTGAGAGTTACTCGATGCACCAAGAATGAACAGTAAGTCAAAGATACGCTGCAAGGACTGTGAAGACTGCAAGCAAATACCTTGAACCAGGCATCAAAGGCTACTAGGAACAAGTGCATCCCTACTAGTAACAGGTGCCTTACTACTAGGAACAAGAAGCTAGTAGAAACAATCTATAAATAGAAACAATAAGATACTAGGTAGCTTGACTTGGCCGTAGGAATCGTACAAACTCCATGTCCGGCGCACGGAAGAAACTCTACACTCGGTCACTCGGGCGTTTCAAAAAAACCACCCGACTGTGTTTTGGCCCAGTTCATCCAGCCTCATCCACCATTTTTCAACAGCCAAAGTCACCCAAAAGCACAAACGGGACACCATCACATTTTCAGCGGGGCGCGAACCAGAATCCCCAATTCTACAGGGTGTCGAGCTTTGATGTGGCAGAGTTCTTGTCACTCTCCGTGCTTCGCAAGTTCACGCCAACTGGCGCTTTCAACAGAAAAAGCAAATACCAGCAAACATGGAAAAAACACACACACATGTTGAAACCTGTATGATCCTGTAAATATGGAAAACACTGCAAGAACACATTCCATGTGGCTCAACATAACTCCACGTCCAAAGAAACGATTTTGAAGCTGTTTTCTGTGCGGTTTTTCAGCTTGGTCCAAGGTTGGGACAAGGATTTTGCCACGTGTTGACACGTTTCAACGCCCCTTGGTTTGCATGCGATGAGACGTTGAGACGTTGAGACGTTCCGCCACGTCGGTTTCTGTTCTCGGAAACATGTGTTTGGTTCCTTTTTTCACCGACTCAGCTGTCCAAAGGATCCAATTTAAACACTGATGTTGTGCTTTCCCGTCCAAACGACCCATGACACGCAGACTTGGTGCAGGAAACACATCGAGCATCATCAACCCAACTGGGACCACCCACACGAAGCCAATCGAACAACACAACATGGAGCTTTCTCTTCGGTCCGTGTTTATGATGATTATGATGTCTGCAGTGTCGTTTGTTGCAGTCCAAACCTCAATAAACCGTGCAGCTTGGCGCCAGATAGCCCGTCCAGCGGGGACATGAGACAGCTTCCTTCCCCACTCGACCACAAGGGTCCAAGGGTCGTTCTATTTTTTTGGCATTTTCCCACTTCGACCAGCAAAATGAAGGTTGAAGAAGGTCAAGGTATGGGAGCCCCTTTCACCCTGCCAGGGTCAACCCTCCGACTCGTAGTCTATTCCGTTCATGTTCGGTGGGAAACAACCAGGTAAAAGGGGAAACATGACCCACAGCCATACAGTTCTTCGTTTGCTCCCACTTCTCCACAAAACGTGGTCTGCCACGGAGTCAGTCGAGACCGCTCAGAGCTGGAGGAGCTTGGACGCTCTGCTCGGCGAGATGAATCGATTTTAAGAGGGGGATCTCCCAAAGATACCCCGAACCATCCAAAACCCATTGGTTTGGGGGTCCCCCTATTAACATACACAATATGCATTCATATGTTACCATTGAATCACTTACGTGGAAAGCGAGTTGCACCGAGGATCGATCTTTGAGTCCTCAGCATGGCTTAGCCAACGCTGAGTCTGCCACCGAGACGAACTCGCTGAACAAAAGTGGCCGTCCGACGACGCGACCCGTGGCCGTCCCCACGCGGTTGCGTTCGCCACGACGGTTCGTTCGCCGGTTGGATTTGGGAAGACATGATCAGAGCTGAGATGGACCAGGTCTTGACTCTTGAGCCGTCCTCACATTCCAGCCAAAAAGTACACCCGGATATTTTCAAGGGAATCAATCTGTCATTGTGAAAGTCAGTGGTTTTGAGACATGGGGACCTCCTCACCGCGCCTCCGTCTGTCTCATCCTTTTTGAGTCCTCCCCGGTCTTCGGACGACGCTCCGCGGGCGTCACGCGGGTCCTCACGTGGGTGGACCGGAGACCTCGAAAGGTCTAACATCGCACCGGAACGGATCTGGAGGCAGTTTCCATGGAATCTGGAAGACTTGAAGTTGGAACTTCATTTAACTCGCCCCTAGAGGAGGGCAGATGGAGTCGATCAGGTTGAGGTGCTAAGACGGGTCCTTTTTGTGTGTCGCACGAAAACGGTGGTTGTGGCTCAGAATGACTCAGCTGGAAGAAGGTGATTAATAATTTTCCAGCTTTTCCCACAAGGCAGCAGGATTAGATTAAACGATCACAGGCACCACTCAAACTCTGCTGGCTGCAGGAAGCTCTTGTCTCAACATCCATTCACTTCAAGTTGTGTGTTTGTGCGTGCTACCTTCGAAAACCCGGCAGAAGAGCGTTTTCCCTTCGAACAGTCTCGGACATCGTGAAGCTTTCCACTGAAAGACCCACTGGAGGGAGTGTACGAATGCGTCATGTGCCAGGCCTGTCATCGGGCAGATTTGTCGGGTTTCGCTCTCCTTGGAGCAGCTTGAGCCCAGGACACTGCCGCTGAGAGCGGAAGAGAAAGGTTGCCTACCAAGGGGGTAGAGGGTGGACCCGACTTGACCGGATGGCCACGTGCCGAAAGATTTCGACCGAATATGCATGAATATGCGGTCTAATTGTGGTATATTGTTGCATAGAAAACAAGTAATTATGGTTGGTGTCAAGGGAAACTGATCTTGAGGATAGGTAGGTGGACTGTGGACTCATCAATTCTTATTAATATAGAGACTGTTGGAATGCGAAGGCCGATTCAATCAGTCAGTGCTTGCATGAAATCTGACCAAAGTACAGGTCGGTCAAGACTTGCCATCCGAGGCACCAATCCCATGTCTAATGAAGCATTGTGGAGCACTGTGGTATTGAACCGCCGACCACAGCTGTTCTTCCGTAGAGATGAGATGTTTCCAAAGGGCTCCCAAAGGATTTGGCGCAGCCCAGGTTGTGGACCAGAGACTTGCAATACGAGTTTCCCGGCAGAGCGTTTGTCGCGTCGGACGCTTCGTGCGAAAAAAAAGCGTTTCGTCGCCATGCCATGTGCACATGTGCATTGCGCACGTTGGTACCTCAGTCTCGCACAGTGGTAGATCGTGAAGATTGAACACTCAAGAATAGTGAATATAGCGAATCAACGGATTTCTAAATATTGACATTTTGAGTTCCAATCTTTCGGTAGTTGAGGATAGTGGATCTTCCTCCTCCTGAAAGCGAACATCGCTTCCACGGAGCGCCGCCGGAAGGCTGGAAGCTGCTGGACAAGGCGCGGAAATCTTCCGCGAATTTGCTGCGGATCTTCTTTTCTTTGAAGGTGCCTAGGAAATGATGGACATGCTGTGGTTATATAGATTTCCATGCTTCCATTAAAGGATTTGCATTGAAAGCTGTTTGATTTTAGAGAAATCCTCGAAGTGTTTGAGCTTCAACGGTTTTTGATTCGGATTTTCACGGGTCGGGGTACCTTCTTTGGCTAACTCCAGTTCGTTTACACAGCAGCTTGCGAGTGCTTTGTCACTTTACATAGAAGTCAAAGCCAAAGTAGGATCAATCTTATAGGTCAGCACTCGGGAGTGTACCCTTCGACTCACTAACATGGAAGTGGAAAGCCCTTTGCTGGTAGAAGACAATAGTCATCCCAGTAGCCATTTTCCACTTCCATGTTGAAGCAGATTGTATGTCCTTTGTCGGGTGGCTTCGGCATCACCCCAGGGGCTGGAAACATGAGATGCAGATCCTACATCCGCCTCCACTTCCACAATTGCTTGATTTCATATTGGTCGGTCTTTTTCATCTTGACTCAGAGTGGGGGCAAAATCTTTTGTGCTCCAAGTAGCTTCCACATCAAACAGCTCCTCCAAGAGTTGGATCTTCGTTGGCAGCACCGTGCTTGCAGCACTGTGCTTGCTGTGAGGGCTGCATCTCCACCAATTTACTGGGGCCTTCGTATGACTTCATTGAAGGCTTAAAAAGGGCTTTATTGTTACTAGTAGCTTCTGGCCTCCAACCTACCTTGCGATGGCCTCCACCGTGCGTAGCTTCTTGCGAGCGGGCTAAGAGTTGCAGAACTGGAATCTTCTGGGCTGAGAGCGTGGAACCCAAGAGCTAGCGCTCCGGTGCTGCCGAAACGGGACTTTCTTACTCGGTTTATCACTCGGCTCTCTGAGGTCATTTCATTGGGGGCCTGGAAAGCGCAGTGAACCCACATATAAATATAATATATAATATTAATATATATACAATATGTATACATATAACATATATATATATATAATATTATTATGCACCTAGAACCTGAGGACCTGAGTGAAAAAAGAATGGAGCCGAAACATGACTTCTAGGTATACAAAGTGCGGGTGAATTCGCATGACACCGAGTCACGAGAATTGGCAGTAAGTGACTTGTCTCGCCTTTGCCCACGGCGAGAGGCGCTCTTGTCCATGCGCCGCGGTGAGCGCAGCGAGGTGCGCTGCACGGGTCCTCGCTTGCACGAGGGCGTGGTGCCACTGCCGCTGCTGCCGCTGCCGGAGGGAGGCAGGGTCCGCGTGGAGCGGAGGGGAAACCACATCAATTGGAACAGATCTCACGGTGTTTAGTCTGAGATCCGTTGTTTAGACAGATCTCACGGTGCCGGCTCAAAGCAAACAGAAGTTGGTTGACGAATGAGCGTACTCTCCTGGGCCTCCATGGGCTCTCCTGTGATTTCAGAACTCACACATTTCACAGACACCCGGAGAACAGGTTAGTCAGAAGGACTTTCTGCATTCCTTCATATCCCTTCTATGTGATGCTATTGGAGTCCAGATTAACTAGCGAGCCAAAGACCACTTTTCAAGTTCTAAACGGCTCTTTGGGATGAAGTATATAAACATGTTCAACCTGCTGTGTGGGTTGAAAGGAAACCATCCCAAAAACCATCATTCTACCTACCCAGGGGCTGTCTACTTTTCTGCTGATGTTCTCCCCTTTCGAGAGGGGGAACTCCGCAGCTCAGCAGCTCAGACGAACGACGGTGGCTTCTCACCATGCTCTTGGAGGACTTCATCGAGACCAGCGATGCCTCCTTCGAGCAGGACCGAGCGCGATGGTTGATGTTCGATGCAAACATGCGTGAGCGCGTGGTTCTTTCCGGATGGAAGAGCATGTAACAACCTAAAGATATTTCCTTTCTGTTCGGCTGGAAGAACTCCTGTGCCACCCGAGGTGATAGGACAATGATGGTGTTTCAGGTGGTGAAGGTGCAAGATTATTCGTATTATTGATATTAATGGATTACTGCAAAAGTGGTCTCTCAGTGAATGTCTCTATGCACTCGAATCATGGGGATGACCCAACTTGTTTTGTACCTGAACTTACCTAAGGAATATCATGTTACAATATGGTATACATATTTAAACTGTTGTTTTTTGGGGCAGAGTAGACAAGTCCATTATGCACAAGAACAGAGGGCTGGTTTGGGGCCATCACCCAATTACACCCATGCTGCTTTTGACACACCTGTATGTGCAGGCAGACTCCGTGTCCACCATTCAACAAGGGCACTCAAGGATCCCCTGTGCCCGGACCACATCAAAAACAAGTGGGGGGGGCCTCAAAAAAGCATGTTTGCCTTGTTTTAGAACGCGTTTTAGAAGGGATCACCTCCCATGTCTTCCCAAATCTCCTTGCTTCATTACTGGCCGGTTTGCCTTGTTTTCGTTGAAAGGTCACCACGCCCACGCCAACCGCCACCACGCCACCCGCCAAGAAAAACACGCCACGCGCGACCGCGACCGGTGAAGAGGACCGCTCGGTGGTGCTGAAATCCCTCCACAGCCGCGATGCGAACATGAGGTGCGAGGCACCTGCTTTCACGTCGTCCGTCGCCCACGGGTGCTGAAGCGTCCACCGGCACGAGGGAGGTTTCACCCCCGCGGTGCCGAAGGGTCCGAGTGGGAAGCAGGTGAGGCAAGTGTCGACCCACTTGTTCTAGAGCCTTCAAACATTTGCCTACGGACCTTACCTTTGAGATCACTCGTTGTTTAGATCATTTGTTGCACTCGTTGTTTTGACACTATCTGAGAGGGGGTGCTTCAATTTGAAGGATTCCCACGGTTCAGAACTCGGCGGGCCACTGCTTGGACCTTCCGGTCTTCAACACGGGTAGTACCCGGTTGTCTTGACCCATTCACCCTCAAACACTTTTCTTTGGATCGTAAGCCCCCCTCACTTTCATCTAAAGCCCTTAGATTAGTCACAGGAGTTTTTCCTTCTTAACAGGTGATTGGTGGTCGATCACGATGTGCATTGTTTTTATCCCGCTGGCCACTCACCCCTCTGACCCCAAGAGTGCGTTTCAAGGTCACCAAGTACCCACCCATTGAGACGTCCTGAGGGGCGTCTTCCAACCTGCCACACTTGAGTTTGCATTTGGGCAAAGGATGATGATCACTAATTCAGGAAAAGGGATGGAATGCCCATGAAGACGGTCAAGAAATTGTATCCTTGGTCTCATTCGCCCAAATATTAGAACATCCTCCAAAGTCCAGCCAATATCTTCCATTTACTCTGGGTTTATCTTTTTTTGACATCATCACTCCTTTCTCACTCCCACATCATCGGTTCCGGTGCCTCCCAGGCCCTTGGCCGCTGCGAACTGCGGGTCGAGCCGGGCTATCCAGGACCGCTCTGCGCGCTGTTGGGCACCGGCGAGCTGTGTGACGCCTTGGAGTGCTCGGTGCTGCGGATGCGCGAGCACGACCTGGCGGAGGCGCGGAGGCGCTGAACGGCCGAGATGGATAGACATCCGAATCGGATTTTCCGTTCAGGCGAGCTGAGCTGGGGAGATTTTTTGAGGTCAACAGTGAGGAGCTGGGGAGTCTTTTTGGGGAAACCCAGCTGCTGGATGACATGCCTCCAAAAGTGGGATGCCATGGGCGATGTTGAGACAGCGAATGACATCGGACCCGCCCAATGCCCTGTGACGTTGATAGATATTGCGGGTTCAGAGCCATGCAAACCTTAATTTGTCAACAGGCTGGACGGAGGTTTCAGATACTTTATGCTCAACCTTTACTCTGAGATGATTGATCCCACTGACTAATACTGTTCAAGTGAGTTGACACCACCAATCACCAGTAGATATACAGTATATATACACTGTAAATCGACATTGAGGGCCGTGTGTTTGAACATCATTACGACCTTGAGGGGTCACCCCAAATGGAATTCAAATAGATCAATATGATATGATTGATTGTACTCATATATATATATATATATGTAATAGATAATTTTTATATAGCGTGCATCAAAAAGTAACGGCCGTTTGAAGATCCAGGTCGTTGTGGCCTTGTTGTTGGCAGATCGGTGCCATTCTTCAATGGATCGGTGCCATTTCTTCAGGTCACGGCGGACGCCAAGCTTTGTGATTGGCGAGGCAGGGACGGTCTCGGTCTCGGTCGAAGGAGCTTGGAGGAGGCTTCCAGCTTGGGGGCGAAATCGCCACAGAGGACGGGATTTTTGGAGCGGAAGAAGTGCCTTTGGTGAAGGGGGTGGGAAGAACATCCCATGAGCACGACCAGAATGTCTCCAGGTGAGAAGTCGGAGTCGGTGACCTTTCAAGTGGAAGTGACCAGCTATCTTCCGGGCGACTGGGAGCATGCTCGCGGTGATGAAGAGAAGTTGGAGGCTTGGTGGGGGCCTTTGGGTAGATGTTGCATCATGTTGCATCTTCTTTCTTATAAGCACCGCCTTGAAATCATGGGAAAAGACACGAAAAGACGCTTGAAGATTGAACAACCAATGGTGCGGGATGGGCCCAATCCATTGGGCAGTACCGTATATTAACGTAGTTTGTGCAGGACACCTGTTAGGATGACACGATGACATGTGAATATTCCTGCTGCCTCCCTCAAGAAACCTCATGTGGATTGCTTCCGAGGTCTTAGCGCGTCGAAAAGACGCGGCTGTGGGGCTCCTGAAGACCCTTAGCGCTCAACGAGCACCGAGGGGCCGACCGCGCACCGAGGGGCCGACTGGGGAACATGTCTGTGTAGAGTATTTTTTGCTTACTGGCCAACAAAGGCAGGTATGAGGCTCATTCAGACTGCGGTTGCGTGATTTATGTAGACTCTACTCTACCCTTTGGATTGTAAACCTCTTCAGATATGTTATGGGGGGTTGAAGTATAATCAAGCGTCTACATCGGATTGCTGGAGGCACCCAAGAGGCTTTCCTCTCATGGATTTGATCCTCAACTTCGTCGAACAGGGGGCAGACTGCATCTGATAATATGGTGCTCTCGCAAGCAGACTGAGTCATGTTTATTTGTACTGTGTCCAGTGCCTTTGCATTGCTCAACAACGGAATTCTACATGCTAGTCATGCTAGTCTGCCAGAGGATATGGGATATGAATCTCACACTCGACGGACACTTTTTTCAGCAGGTCTTCACCCATCCATGGTCCGTGTTTTCTCACCCGCACCCGCCATCTGCTTTCTGCTTCTTTTACTTGATGGCCTGCAACCTAATAGCGATGGCCTCCAACCAGATAGCGATGGTTTCCAACCTACTATATATAGATCTATATAGTGATGGCCTCCGACCTAATAGCAATGGCCTCCAACCTAATAGCCATGGCAAGACACAGCGTCAGTTTTCTGCTTGGTCTCCTCGGTTTCCCGGCAGCCAAGGACTGGTCGCTATGGCCTCGCTGCCTTTCACTTCCGCGAGATCGCACTGCGCTTGGGGTGCGCCGCGAGACGGGCCACGCGTGGTTCGAGGGCAGAGCGGCCTTTGTGGCTGGGACACGGTGACGTGCCAGGGTATCAACGAAAGGATGAAAGGAGGAGAAGAGTGGGGATGGAATTCTATTGGTGCTCTGGCTTCGGATTCGAATGATTTGGAGTATGGAAAGACTTCAAGGAGAGGTGGATGCAGGGAATATGGTCCAGTGAAGTCGATTTTGAAGAGATATCCACAGTCGCAGTACTCACTGTTGACATCCGCTCCGCTCCCATGGGTACATAGCTGAAGTTTTGCGCAGCCCATTGTTGCGCAAAAGATAGCGACCTATATGTGCGGGGCTTGGAAGTGGCTTTATTTTCCATAATCGGGGACCTGCAGGGTGTCCACTGAGCTCATAAACATGTCATAAATCCAGCGAGAGGATGCGATGGGGGGGGGTTCAGGTGTACCAGCATAATTAATCCTCAAATGCCCCCCCAAAAAACAAGACCAGTGCCTCCATGTTCCCCAGTTTGTCACCCAAATTTTCCTTCACCAGGCACAGCTTTTCACCCCAAAAAACTGGACCCTTCACACTGTTTGACCTTTGCGAAAAAGGAGGGTGGCCCACATGGATACCCGGAGAAGTGACAGGGTGCTGCAGCGACTTTCTAAGATCATGTTGAGGGTGCATTAGTAAGGGCATCGCTACGAACGGAGCAAGCACGCTACTAGGGGCGCTCCTGGCCTTACTACTAGGAACAAGAAGCTTTTAGTAACAAAGGGCATCGCTATGAACGGAGCAATGTGTAAATCCACAAAAAGAAACCGATCGCCCTGGCAGGGTAGACCGGTAGACTGGTAATGACTGGTCGATTTTTCTTCTTCCAAGGGGGTCGGTCTCCCTATTTGAGCCATTCCCACAGCGCGACCTGACCTCGCCAGATACATCGACGACTTCCGGGGGCTCAAGGCCGGCGAGGCGCGGGCCGCCCAAGTGCGGGAACTGATGCTTGGATGGAAGTCGTCATCCGTCGGGCTTGGGAGTCGCCCCCCCTGGTGCTGCAAGAATGGCCTCGTTTGCAGGGTTGCCACTCGTGACCGAAGTCTGCTAGTCTAGCTATATAATGCTTTCTTGTATAGGTATAGTTATATATATGTACACTTAAACTTAGCGGCTTCAATGCTAGCATGGAGGGTGACAAGAGGGCAACCGGAGCGAAATGATATTGGATGGTTTGGAAGATGCCCTTGTACCCAATTCATTCCTAGCCCTTCTCACACCATGCTTGGGGGTTCTGCCGGCAGCACTCCAACGGTTGACTCGCAACAAGACCCGCTGCCTTTCGTTGAACACCCTTCGCCGGTTTCTCAGGAAAGAAGCATGCTGGTTGAACCGAGCTCTTTGCTTGATCAAGGCCGGGGAGCAGATTTTCTGGGCAGATCAGAGTGCATGGTTTATCATGGTTGATCCAACTCCTGTATGGTATGGGTTTATGATGGCTTCTCCTGGGCCATCACTCTTTCTGTAACCAAGGCCTTAGGGCCGAGTCACTGTCATTGAGGACATTTGATCTGCATGGACCCAGGAAATCATAAATGTTTTGAGGATCTGCCAAACAGATCTGTCTGTCACGAGTTCGCCTACATGTAACTTTTGATGCTCCCCACATAGCCGATCTCTTGCCCAGCTTGCTCTGCACATGTTTGCGTCTACATTTGCATCCAAAAATTCAGATTTTCACAACCAAGTTTGCAAAGCTTAGGAGGACCATGCATTCCTCTAATCGATCTATTCATGCCTAGATGCTAGATTCGGAATCGAAGGGTATGCAACAATATATTTCTGGAGAGATATACCGAGAGCCGGCTCTCCTGTAGCCTAGCCGGGTCTGCGTGACTTGAGAGTAGGCTTAGCCACTCTGAACGATCCGAGAGCTGAGCTCGAACATCCAAGCACCTGCTGTCTGAATCTGTCTCAATTGCCTCAAGCTTCGTTTCTGATTCGTTTCGGGCACTGAATTCTCACAAATCCTCTCATTTTTTTTCCGGCGTTTCTCCCCGCTGTTCGGTTCTCCCGGCCAAGGCTTCAAACTTCAAGGGTGCCCAGGACGCCTGCGACCAGGCGCTCGAGTTCACCAGCGGCGATCGCAGGGCCAAGGCCTACCTACGTCGAGCACAGGCAAAGTTAGGCGCGAGCTTTCTTTATGCGGAGCCGTGTACTGAAGGAACTGGCGCCAAGGACACTTGATAGCGGTTTGGAAGCAATGTTCTTTTGTTTTCCATCTTTGGTATGAAGATTGACATTCCAAGCGGATGGTCATTGAGAAGCTGGAGATCCCTTCACGCCGCTTGGAGTTTCGCAGCTTTCTCATGTTCCCCAGGCTTGGATGATTGCGCTGCGGCACTCCAGGACTGCCTTTGCGTCGACGGCGAGTGTGCCAGAGAAGCGCAGCAGGTGGCCCTACAGGCCCGAGAGTTTGGTCTCGATTACGTACGTTCCAAGTGATCCAAGTGAACCTCCACGACGGGTGACCCGTTTCGCACGTTCCTTAAACACGGCCATCCGATGACGTCCACGTCCTACTCGCGATCGGCGCGACATCGCGTGCCTGAAACTTGAATTTTGCTGGCGCAGGTTTCACTGAAACAAGAATCGGGCACAAATGCGAACACACGCCTTTTTGGTCACAGTGCGGGCAGGGTCATGTTGAAATACACGTCCAATTCTTCGTAGCGGGGCAGGGTTTTGACACTCTCAAAAGGGATTCCTTTTGGTGTATCATTTTCTTTCAAGTGGTCATGAATGCCATTCCCCATGATTTGACAGACCCACTTGCCACAGCTTGATCTGTGATGATCTGTGATCTGAATTCAGCTCCCGAGCTGGACATCTTGGGCACCGCTGTTCTCCGAGGCCGCGCGGCGTCAGAAGCTCTTGGACGCTGAAGCCAAGCCCTTGGCGGCGAGGCGACCGGATTCAGCGGTTTGGGCGGAGGAGTTGTGGCCTCTCAGGAGTTATGGAAGCTAATATTCATGGCCTCCAACCTAAGAGCGATGGCCTCCACCCTAATATTTTTGTATTACTATTATATACAAGGTTCATCAAGGTTCAACATATTACAATTACAATACTACAATGATCAAACCAGTTTCTTTCAAGTTTCTTAGTGGCTTTACCAGAGAATTGGACGTGCAGCCGTTCCAAATCCATTCAATTTGTACTTTACACCGGCAATTTTGCTACTTGATACATCTCCATTGAGAAGTTGTGGGAGGACGGAGGAGGAGGACCCTGAGTGGGACGATGTGCTGTGCCCCGACCACCACGGGCCGCCCGAGGATGTGTTCCGCCTTGGGGCAGCTACCACACCCTTTGGATGTGGACTGAAAAGACGGGATTTTTCTGCCGCTTGGGAATGCCTCACGGGTCATGTGACATTGTTTATTTGGTTTACTAGGAGCATGGTTGCCATTTCGTTACATTTCGTCAGGTCAACTACCCAGAGTACACCAGAACGTTTTCCCCATCTAGGATTTCAGGAATCCTCCAAGAGAATTATTATCCTTTCAGCTCTGTTGTCGCTCCCCGATGTTTTCGACCTCCAACGCCGACGGCATCGAGGAGTCGAACGAACCTTCGGCATAAAACGCACAAAAAACGCGCCAAAAGCCCATTGCGTTGGCAGAAGCGGGTTGTGACTGAGGACGCGAAGAAACGAAGACCCGTGAAGACACGGAGAGACACGAAGACGCGAAGCAACGAAGACCCATGAAGGCTTCAAGGTTTCAAGGCGTCAGTGCGTCTGCAGGGATTCAAGGCTTAGCGGAAAGTCACCCGGGATTGCCAACACACTGCAAAAGCCGCTTAAAGCATGGAAGGGTCTTGTTTTCTGAGTTGTCTCAGCTCATGTGTCGGGGGTTCTTTTGAGTGGGACGAGTCGGAACCTGATCTACGTATGGAGCTGAACTTGGGCCACGCATCGATTCGATGGTCTCGGTACATCTTTGTACATCACCTACTTCCGGTGTTTCACTCAGGGCTCATGGCCTTTCATGCTTCGAGAGACAGAATATGGCCTGGGGAGAGAGAACACTAAGCTTTGGTCTTTGTTTGGATCAGTCCCTTGGTTTTGAGCATCAAAACTCTGTTTCACCGTTTTCACCAAGCTGGGTGACAAGTTGGTTACTACATGAATTGCAGATGCGCGATTGTGGCACCCAAAGAAGCTGAAACACACAGTGAACTGTGCTGCCACGTTTGGGAAGCGCTGCTGGAGCATTGTGAGGATGTACTACTTGTCATGAGCTATTCAGTTATTGGCAACAATTATATATATAACTATTTTGAAGTCCAATCTACATGCCCATAGAATATGAATGAGGAAGATCAAAATAGAACTTTTATGAACTTTTCAGTATTCTTTGATCGAACAGTTTTCTTTTCGATGACCACTTTTCAGGGTAGAGAAAACTAACACCACACTCTGCAACTCTCTGTTTCACGTTCCCCGGTATCAGTTCTGCTGAGAAACCGGCAGCCGGTCACAGCGCCACGTGATCCTCTCAAGCTCCTTTTCTGCCGTTGCCAGCTGTCGCGCGTTCCTGGGGCACGCTGGGACCTCATGCTTCGGGTCGTTGCTTTCGGATTGTTGGAAGATGTTGGCAATGGCCTCCAACCCAATAGCGATGGCGTTGGAAACAAACGGATAGGTGGGGGGGTTTTGTAAGAACATGGTGCCCACGTGTGTTTCCCTACTCTTCAAGTTGCATACCACTGGAAACCTCAAAGCCTCAAAACACATGGTTACCACTGCAAAGAGGGACTGGACAGGTAGGGCGTTGGAGTTTGGACCAGCTGGCCACCGAGGAGACATGAACACCTTCGTGGAAACTCAAAGAGCTACAGGAATATCAGATTCCCAAGTCAACGAAGCTGATTCACTCTCAACAACATGAATATCAAATGATAGCACAGAAATTCTAATAGATTCTATCAATTCTATCTCTATCAGTTTCCCAGGGATTCGAAATTGTGTATGCTATCTCCACGTATTTCCGAACTCTCTCCCGTGGTACCACCGAGGGCATGGCGCAGGTCTGTGCCAGCAACCTCCCAGGCAGGCAGCAGCTGAGACCTGCGATGGCGCTCCCTCCCAAACGAAAATACGACCTGAAAGAGATGATCTTCAACGCTTTTCCTGGTAGATTGCTGTGGTAAGAACTGTCAGGGGGTAGAATTGAGATGGCGTCAGATGCTGAGTTTCACATTTGCGCCCTTTGCCAGGACAATATACTGTACATATAGCTTTTGCCGGTGCTCTCATCTTATCATGCGGAGTTTCGGCCAAGAATCCAGAACTGTTGACGGAAGAAATCCTGCACCACTTTTGCGAAGCTCATATATTACACCCTCGCAGTCTCTTTTTAGCATTGCTTGGTCCGGCATTAAAGCCTGCAAAGGTCCCATTTACAAAAATCCCGCACCACCTGCCTGCATGACCCAACAACCTTGAATAGGGCTTTTCCGGGCTGGTCTGTCAGTGTGAATGAGTGATGTGTCCAAATGGTGCAAGGAGGTCTTGTGTCAACCGTAGGGATGGTTTTTGGACCTGAAACCCAAGAAAGTGGGCAAGTCACGAAAGGTAGCCCTTAAGGGGATACCTAGAGTTTGTCTTGCGAAGCAAGTGTTGGCGCGTCCGGGTCTAATAATTGATCATTCAATCCACCCCCCCCCTCGAATTGATTTCTCAATACAGACCCCCCCCGCCCCCCGGGGAATTGATTTTTCAATATCGACCCCCCCCTCTCTAAATTCAATTCTCTCCTGGAGAACGTTTTGGTGAGCCTCTCATGATTTCAGGTTGAACATTGAGAAAGAGTGCATATGATATTCTAATCACGAAAGGTGTTTCCTGAGGGGATCCATACCTAGAGTTTGTTTTGTGAAGCACGTCAATTCTCTCCTGGGGAACGTCTTCGTGAGCCTCTTATGGTTTCAGGATAGTTCAAATCCTATGATGCTCCGATTCAATGCTCACTGATGCTCTGAGCCATGGGGCAAGTTTGTTTTCCTAAGAATCTTTTGAACATTTCGAGAGCATATGTTTGAACATTTCGAGTGCATATAGAATTATATTTACGAAAGGTCGCCTCCGAGGGGATAAATCACCATGTCGAACATTGCATTTTTGTTCTTGTTCCTGCCTCTCACGTTCTCTTCTCTTCCCGCTGTCCTACCTTTCGTGTCTCCCTCCTCTCAAGTCGGAGTTCACGTGGCCTGCCTTATGAACTGGGAACCTGCCAGGTGCACCTCACCAGCGAGCGGTCTATCGACACCGCTTGAGTCAGCGATCGAATGAGGATAAGGAGGCATGGCCATGCATGGTCAGTCGGGGAGCTGGAGATTGCGTGGAAAGTTGGGGACTTGATGCGGACTTCTGTGGTTTGTTTTGTTTTTTGGCATTGCTACTAGGAGCAAGGACGCTACTAGGGGCTCCTGGCCTTACTACTAGGAGCAAGAAGCTACTAGGGGCTCCTTACTACTAGGAGCAAGAACGCTACTAGGGGCTCCTGGTAGTACCAAGTGGGTGCTGGAAGAACCGCAGATGGAAACGGTGTCGGTGTCGTCACCCGATCGTGTGATCGTTTTCCACACGTCACCCACGTGCCGGTATCGAATTCGAACCTGCTTGTCCAGGACATTATGCACATGTGGCCCATGTCGGGCGTGGATTTCATGGTGGGTTTACGATTTTGTGTTTTCGACCAGGAAGAAGGTGATGCATGGCGCCACCAGCTTGGTGAATTTCAGACTTTGAGGTCTGCAGGTCTAGCGGCTGGAGGTCTGCAGGTCTTCTCACCGTCGGAACCTTCGTGAATCTCCGCGCTCGCGAAGAAAAACACATCAAACACACGGATAGCCCTCGGACTCACTCACACGGAAGTGCAAATTCCCTCCTCGTTTGTAGAGGAAACCCTTGTTTTTTTTGTGTTTTTTCCGAACACCGTTTTTTTCGGACGCCTTTTGTTTTGGATGTTGGGATGCCCCATCAGTGCCGAACTCGTGCTGCTCAGCTGTCACTCCGCACAGAAGCTCCATGTGGCCTCGCCGCTGTTGGGCGCCATTGCTGGGTGCACGGCCAAGAGCATGGTGGCGCCTTTGAGCCGCACAGTGACTGGGCAGTGCCTGGATGGTTTTGCAAGATGAAAATAGACCTCATGGGGCCTACCCATAGAAGTCTCCCCATTCAAATACACACCCACCTCTGTTTTTCCTTTCTTTTTGTTCCAGCTGGGGGGGGCTATGGTGGTGGGTTCAAGGACTTTGTTTGGAAGCTTGAAGCAAGGGGTGGCTTGGGCTGTGATGGGTTTGTGGCATGTAAGGTTTAAGGATTGAACAGTGATGATAATGATGTTGCAAGATGTCCACTCACATAAGCACTAGTCTACTATAGTCTACTAGTATACTAAGTCTAAGAATCTCATTTTTCGGCCGGCATCATTCCGGGAGTAGAGACAATTCTCGAAGGTAAACCTCAGGAATCACTTTGAGCTCTACTCTCGTGCGAGCCGTTGAAATGTCAACCAGCGGCCGAAAAGGAACAGTTTGGTAAGTCTCAGTCGAAAGGTTTTTCGTCAGGTGACTCAAGGTATTCTATTGCGATGTTGCAGCTTTTGTCACAAGGCCAGGATATATTGCTTCTCATACCTTGTCTCAAGGTATACAAGGCCAGGATACCTGGTCTCAAGGTATATACTGTAGCTTTTGTCTCCAGTTAGTGTCGATCAAAAGCTGCACAAGGCCAGGGTCAAGGAGACCCTCCGTAAGACGCAATCATCCTGCAGGAGACCCTGGTCACAGAAGTCGTGTGCAGAAACTGTCTCTTACTTGACCAACCCGGCCCTCACCCTCACGCAGAAGGAATTCATGCTGTTGGTGGCCATGCCTCCGTCTCTCTCCTGTCGACGCCACTCAATCAAGGCAATCTTCCGTCGAAATAGGCTTCCTCATCTTCACGCCCACCAAGATCTCGCACACCAGTCTCGGTAAAGGAGAACGTTGGACCCTTCCTGCAACCAAATTATCAACATCTATCTAGCAAAGATTGTCTGCCTTATGAGAGTCACTATCAGCACCCATCCTGACAACCCTAGCCTCTGTGAACCCCGTTTGCTTACATCAAAGTAGCTAACTGGGTGTTCGTTGAGGTCTGGCCAACAGATCTGCTTCCGTTCCCGGTCCACAGTCCATCCGCACCTCCAGCTCGATGGACATCAGGTGATCCAGATGCAGTTGCATCACCTGCACCACACTGGCAGCATGCTTGACACCATGCGCGGCATTTACCAGGAGGGAGGCATTCGGGCTTTCTGGCGAGGCGGGCAGTCATTGTGCAAGTTTGAGAGATGACTCAGATGCAGAGGCTTATGGATCTATAACATCATATAAAATCCCTATAGTGTTTGTTGTGAGGAGATCGCAGGGAGATTTGGTCGGTCTGCAAGAAGTCACTCGAACAGAGCAACTCACTGTGGCAGGCCGCTCTATCCAAACAATATCAAACAATGCCAAATTTCACAGTGGACTCTGGGGAACTTGTTAGATCTTCCACCACATGAAATCCATCTTTCGTAACACTGACAGAGTGCAACAACACCATTGGATGTCGTTCCAACATGTCTTTTCTTCCAACGCACGTTCGATGCATTGGACCCTGCACGGTGGGGACGCCTTTCGAAGCCGGTGGACATGTCCTCGCGTGGGTTTTCATGTCGTTTTACGCGGTGGGTCCGATCCTCTCATTTGGGGTATGAAGGTCAGGTCGTTTCGTTGTATGTCTTGTCTCGTTCTCTGC